TAATTGTTTTAGGTAAAGAAAATCTTAAAAATATTTATAAGGACGTTGAGATTCTTCTACCTTATTCAATAATTATAAATAATTCTTAGGAAGATTTTATCTAAAAAGAAGATTGTATTCCATGCTTCTCTAAAATCCTAACATAAATTTTTTATATTAAAATAAGTTTTTTTTTTTACACAAACTTACATTGGTTTCACAAAGTTATTTCATCTATATCTATAAAATATAAGAGTGAAGACCCATTTTAGTCTCTCACAAAATTTGAAGAGTCCAAATTAATTCCTATGAAAAATAATGTCCTTAATTAATTTCTTATAAAATTTAACCGAGTCATATTAGTTCTTATGATAATATTTTTTTCAAACTGATTTTTTCCTACTTTTAATCCGTGATTGAACTGCCATGTGTATCATTTTACTTACGTGGACTTATATTTTTATTTTCAATTACTTTCAAATCCATGTAAAATTTATTTTCTTTTTTATTTATTTTTAATTTTAATTAGTTATCAAAGAAAAGCCGGAAAAAAATCAAAATTTTACACCTAACACTTAATATTTTTATTTTTAATTATTTTTAAATTCATGTAATATTTATTTTCTTTTTTATTTAATTTTATTTTAATTAAAAACTGAAAAAATAAAAAATTTGCATCTAGAGATTGAACCAAGAACCCCTTGGTCAATAGACAAATGTTTCATGTTTTAAGTTATAAATAAAATTTATATTAATATATTTTCTTATTATTTTTTAATTATTAGCAATACTTAATATATTTTGATCCCTAGCAAAAAAAATCATATTTAATTTCTTACAAAATTTAATTGGGTCACGTGAGTCTCATATGTTCAATCTTACATTGTAGTATCATCACATTTAAACTATGAAGAAAAAATTCTCCATTATTATCACATAGATTATAGATATACCATCAAATTCAAAATATTATAGTACCATCAAATTCTAAAATATTATACCAACAAATAAAACTTCAAAATCTAAAACATCTAGTATCACCAAAATAAAACCAACCAAACAAATAAAGAGTCATAAAATTGCAAAGAATGTTGTACCAACAATTACAACATTAAAACAAAATATTTGACGATGCCATCAAATCCAAAAGACAAGTTAAATAAAGGAAATGTCAAATTGACTGTCATTGTGTAAATTCAGGTGTAAGCATGAATCTTGGACTACTCGCTCCCATTTGTAGTGATTGAGACGAACGCGGAGGAATAAATCAAGGTGTTAGTGGTCGAGTAGATGAAGTTTTAACTGTTGAAGGACGTCCAATGAAAAGTGGTGGTAGCGGTCTAACTAGAGGATGTGATGATCTAACATAATGAGGTGGTGGCGGCCTAATAAAAGGGGAGACTTAAAATCATGAAAAATAATAATAAGGAGGAGGCCTAATAGAAGGAAGTGGAGGCGGTGATGATCTCAAAATGTATTAAGTATTGCTAATAATTAAAAAATAATAAGAAAATATATTGATATAAGTGTTATTTATAAATTAAAACATGAAAAATACAATAGTTTAGTGTTAGAGCAAGTTGCCCATTAATCAAGGAGTCTTTGGTTCAATCTTTGTTAGATGCAAAGTTTTTAATTTTTTCAACTTTTTGCTAGATGCAAAGTTTTTAATTTTTTCGAGCTTTTTCTATAATAACTAATTAAAATAAAAATAAATAAGAAATGAATATTATATAAATTTAAAAATAATATAAAATAAAAATAATAAGTCCATATAAGCAAAACTAATATATATGGTAGTCCAGTCATGGTTCAAAAGTAGGAAAAAAAACTGATTTAAAATTTTTTTTATTAGAGAGGTTAATATGACTCAGTTAAATTTTATAAAGAACTAGTAAGAAACCCGTGCTACCGCACGGGTCCTGTCTGGATATTACACGTGTACCAAATTATCCTTTGTAAAATATGAATTTATTTTTTAAATTGGTTAACATTTTCATAGTTACAAATATAGGCTAATAACATGCACTTGCTTTTTAAGCATTGATTCGTACTTATAATAAACCGTACAACATATTCTCTAACTTCAATTATATTAAACAGTAGTGAAGCTACCGGCAGAAAACACAGAGCCGCTACCGAACTTTATTTATCTCGAAGGAAGGGGAAATATCGATAAAACCACAAGGGAATGGATAAGATGGTCTCGCGACCAAGAGAAAGGGTAATGGAGTCGGTTATACAAGGGGAAGGTATTAGCACCCCTCATATCTGTTGTACTCAACGGGATCCGTTTTGTTTGTTTGTCTTAAAGGGTGTATTTATCTACAACTATGCTTGTTTAAGGGGAAATGAATGGTTTTTGATTATTGCGTTCGTGAGGGTTTCGCGACCCTTTGCCTACGTATCCAATGAAGGAATCAGAACACCGTAGTTCCTCTAGAAAAAGATGGTTTTGTTTGTGTTTTTTAGTGGGCGACGTTAACGCACGCATTCTAGCAATAGGCACGGCCGGTATCGCGGTAGAACGAAGATAACATGCTCGTTGGGGAAGTTTTGATTGGTTGAGTGTTTTTGCGAGTTTTAGAATAAATTCGAGTAATAATTAAAGAAGTGTTTTTGGATTTTTGATTTCTTTGGTCAACAAGGTTTGTTTGGACGAGATTTTAAAAATGCGACGACCTAATGTCTAAGTTTTTACTTAATAGGGGTTAAGTTTTAAAATTATAGAGACATTTAAGTGCAAATAAAACAGAATATAACTAATTATCTAAAGAAGTTTTTTTTTTTGAACTAAATTAAAAATTTAGGATCACTTACTAAAAATAATTCTAAACTAAATTAAAAACTCTAAAGTTATAAAAATAGTTCTAAGATTATTAAATTAGATCTAAATTAAATTAAAATTTCAAGGTTGCTAAATTAAATCTAAATCAAATATAAATTCTAAAGTTATTAAGCTAAATCTAAATCAAATAAAATTCTAAAATAACTAAGCTAAATCTAAATCAAATAAAAATTATAAACTTATTAAACTAATTCTAAATCAAATAAAAATCTTAAAGTAACTAAGCTAAATCTAAATCAAATAAAAATTATAAACTTATTAAACTAATTTTAAATCAAATAAAAACTCTAAAGATATTAAACTAATTCTAAATCAAATAAAAATTATAAACTTATTAAACTAATTCTAAATCACATAAAAAATCCTAAAGTTATTAAACTAATTCTAAATCAAAAATGAAAATTCTAAAGTTACTAAGTCTAAAACCATTCTAAATAGTTAAAATTAAATAATTAACTAAAACATAGTTATTTGATTAAATCTAAAAGAAAACTAAATTAACTAAATAATTAAAACCAAGGGGTGTAAGAACTCAATTTCGCTGGACTTATTAATGATGACCCAAAGCAATATTTGAAAACTCAAACAAGAAGTGAGTGTATATGAGAAGAGCGGATTGGGCTGAAGGTATGAAATAAATTAACAGGCCCAAAGCATGATTTTCGTTTACTTGCTAGAATAAAATATTAAAACACAATTGGGATGCACCAGAAACGCGTTGGGCTGGATATGGCTTTACTACAAGGTCCAAATGAAATTGCAAAAAAAAGAAAACCCTAGAACCCAGATTGAATGGTCGTTCACCATCTTTCTAGCATGTTCCTCTGCTCGTTAATTCTCTCTTTCGGTTCATAAATGGCCATCCAAATCCCACCGATTCATCACCATCGCTTTATCATTTTCTTTATCGATTTGTCACCATCATTGAGTAACGAAGGCCACGGTCACGGAAAATTACCTCTCGATCGAACAACAAGACCCAGTTGGAATTTCGAATCCACAGTTGAGTTCCTCGATTCCCATATCTCCTGTCTTGATTCTGAATTTCTTACATGTTTTTTTATCTTATAATTTTAGTTTTGATTTCTTGCTTTTAACCCCCAATTAGCGGTTTACAGGACTACCAATTACGAATCGGGTTCGGGGCTCTCATGGTTCGACTCTGCTCAAATTTAGGATTTTACGACACAAAAATTGCGACAGTTACTTAATAACCGTCGTAATTCTAATATAGGGACCCATGTCACGACGGTATACACCTACCGTCCTTACATATTTAAAAAAATATTAAATATCGCGACAATTTTTCATTAAACCGCCCTAAAATGAATGTTGCGACGGTTAAGAAACCGTCCTAAAATAGACATCACGACGGTAAAACAACCGTCGCCCCCCTAAACCTTTAAAAAACATGCAAAAGTTATGAAAGGGCACGACGGTAACCACACCCGTCGTCCCCCTAAATCCTTTACCCGGCTTCGTCTATTTCTCTTTTTATTTATTGTTCATGTATCTTTCTCCAAATTTCTTCATACTTTTGCTTTTTCTCTGTACAAACTTCAACCACATCAATTCGATGAGAACCTTAAGAAGCTTCGATGGCTTCCCTTTAAATTTGAGCATCTTCTCTCGCTATTCCCAATTTGAAATCCATTTTTTGTGTGTTTTGTGTTTGGTGACGTCGTGTTGGTTCTGGAAATTAGGGCATCAAGCATAGGCAAAGCCATCACCCGACTAGCTAGGGCAGTTTCCCAGGCTCTTCCTTCTCTCGTCTGAACTTCTGAATCTCATCGCAATGGTCGCTCTCTCACTCAGGAAATCGAATCTGCTCCAGGAAGTATCAGAGTCAATCTTCTCCTTCGCTCATAAATATGTGTTCTTTTTTAAATCAGAATAGGGTGGCTGGAAGAACATCAATGGTTGTGGCACGTTCTGACTCGCGGCATCGGGAATTCGTGGTCGTAGTCGCATATCATTGATTGTCTTTAGATGTCGAATCATCGTGAGTTATCTTCTTCTTCTTTTTTTTCACTTTTAAGCTCGATTTTTTATGCGGGGTCGTTATTCTGTTGTTAATCATTGTTGTTGTAGGTTGTTAACCAAGTGTTCGGTGAAATGCCTGAACCATGTTGTTAATCACTGACACGTCGACTCCAATATTCATTTGAAATTCATGAAATTCTATTCTGTTCTCCAGACAAACTCAAGTTTGATTGAGGGTCGCTGGCAGCTCATTTTTACTACAAGACCTGGAACAGCATCGCCTATTCAGGTTCTTATTATCATTACTCAAACGCATTTTCTAACCGTTTATTCACTTTAATTTATATTTTAGCGGGGCTGGAAATTTACTTCCAAAATCACCACACCATCATGTCTACAAATTGTTGGTGTATGTTTGCTATTTGGCCTACTTACTATATGTTTGTTTCATTTTTAAAGGAGCCAAACTTGACTCTACAAGTCTAGAATTGAGTATAACCTATTAGTTCGTACAGTAATTATGACAATCATAATGCCGTCTCTTGAATAACACAGGATAGTTCAACAGTCTTTATGACAGTAATATAATATTATGTTTCTAAATGCAATTCATTCTGTAAATTTACGCATGTTTAACTGAAATTTCAATCTCATAATATCTACCTACCAGAACAAGTGTCACCAAACTGTTCAACATATACCCCATAAATTGCTTACTGATATGACTCAATATGGTATTCTATATTGCTCTTTCAGAGAACGTTTGTCGGGGTTGATTTTTTTAGTGTATTTCAAGAGGTTTATCTTCGAACGAATGATCCACGCGTATGCAATATTGTGTCATTTTCTGATGCCATTGGTGAGCTCAAAGTGGAGGTAATACTAAATAAGTTTAACTGAACTTATCATAAATTTAATACACATTTCTGCGTTCAATTCAACTTCTTTTTTTATAGTATTAGGTGAGAGAAACTGAAACTCGGTGAAACTTTTTAGTTTAACAGTAGTCAATATTGTGAATTGAATTATGCCACATAGATTCTAAGGCCGGCTTTCTTTTATTTCTTCACATATGTATAGTTTAATAGTTGAATTCCTTTTGTGTTTCTGTTTGCGCCTGTGATACAAAAAACATGATATCATATAGCTGTTCCTTTATTTTGTTATTTTTATTCTTCTATCGATTTAAAGTTTGGTTTCTGGAAGAGTGAAGTGAAGTTTGATCTATATGTATGACCGAATCTAGTAGGACAAAGACTTCGTTGTTGTTGTTGTTGTTGTTGTCATTCTTGTTCTTATATTCATGTCTTTCCATCTGAACAGGCAGCAGCATCCATCAAAGATGGAAAAAGAATCCTTTTTAGGTTTGACAGAGCTGCCTTTTCTTTTAAATTTCTTCCATTTAAAGTTCCATATCCAGTTCCATTTAAGCTACTTGGAGATGAAGCAAAGGGCTGGTTAGACACCACATACTTGTCGCATTCCGGAAACCTACGCATCTCAAGAGGAAATAAGGTGATTAGCCATTACCAATATAAACACCATCTTAATAGTCTTTCTTTCCTTCCCTCGAGTGAAATGCTAGATCGTCTAGCACATCAAAGTATTTATATAAAAACTTTATATTTCCAAGACTTATCAGCAGCATATTTATAGTGCAGGGAACCACATTTGTGCTGCAGAAGCAAACTCAACCTAGACAAAAGTTATTAACCGCCATTTCGTCGGGGGTGCGTGTTAGAGAGGTAAGAGTGCTGTATTTTCTTCACATTTCCAATATAAACCTAACTGTAATATTTTCACTGTCACAGTTTTTCACATCCTTAATTTCAACAGGCAATAGATGAACTCATTTCCTTAAATAAGAAATCTGAGGATAAAGAGCCAGAACTAGAAGAGGGTGAGTGGCAAATGATATGGAATTCACAGGTAGATTTTGAAATACAAACAGAGAGTTCCACCAACTGATAATTTTTTTACTCGGAAAGTTTTTTTTTGTGAGAAATACTGTTTGAAGATGGTTTAAATGTAAACATTGTGTTACAAGGTTTTATTTTTCTTATTTAAACAACTTATTTTCTATAGACTGTGATGGATAGTTGGTTAGAGAATGCTGCCAATGGTCTGATGGGAAAGCAGGTATCATGTTAATCTTTATCCAAGCATGAAAGTGTTTAACATTACTCATTTGGCTTCACTTTTCCTGGGTGTTGGATCAGCTCCCTAAATGGTCTCCTATCAATAGGGTTGCTTATACTGATAGGCTCTCTGCGAGGTTTGAAAGAGAGGGTGAGGGTGTCTGCAGTTCTCACAATTCTTTATGCAATTCCTAACCTTGACCTTTTTCAGGTTAACATGAAAGGACTTGATGGAATTCAACGACCTATATATGTGGCGAAAAGGTATGTTTCAACTGACAAGTGCTTTATGGAATTCCTACCCTATTTTGCTTTTAATGCCAAGGAAACCCTGATGACTATGGTATGGTATGTATGGTGACTGGTATAGATCCCTTATGAAGGTGTATGGCTGTTTTTTGTTGGCTGCTAACATTTATTGATCAAGTTAGCTGGTGAGGCCTGATTGATCCATGTAGTAACTTATATGTTTTGAAAGCCCTCGAGGGCATTTTTGTCCTCCCAACTGCTATATAGCTTAAAGCTGTAAATAGGGTAAATAGGGCACTCTGTTAATTTGAGTAAGGTGAATTTCTCGCATGAAGAGCGGGCCTTCTACAAAAAGTTGGAAGCTGATTCACGTTCTCAATTTAAAGTTTATTTCTTTTCAAATTTCTTATATTAAGCTGGTGCCTTTTGTGTGACAGGAGTTAAACTTGACAATGCAACAACTATAGCAACGTTTGATCCAAATGAGAAAACCTACAACATTAATGGAAAGGATGTGCAAGGACACTTCATCGGTTTCTTAACAAGTGTCAATGAGAAAGTTAGGAAGAAAACAAAGTTCGTCTTTCAATTTCTTAACGCAAGTGATGTCGAACCAACAACAATGCAACCGTATGGCACCATTGTGAAAGATCTTGCGGCAATCAAGTCATATGCATCTGGCATAATAGTGCCGAAAGAATACATATGGCCAGTTAAACCAGACAATTACTTGGGGCCTCTCACAACCCTAGTATCTGATGCACATAAACAAGGACTGGAAGTGTATGCTTCTAGTTTTGCGAATGATTTCTTTTCAAGCTATGATTATAACTATGATCCTACTGCTGAGTACCTACAATTTATAGCGAAAGACGAATGTGTTGATGGTCTTGTTACTGATTTTCCTTCAACCGCATCAAATTCTATAGGTGAGTTGAAAACACTAGACCTTTCTTATTAACATTTTCTGCGGTGAGAGTGAAGAGATATTCAAAACTATGCTTATTAGAAGACTAGTTCAAAAGAAGATAACTGGGCTATATGGAACTGAATTTCTTGTTTTTTCAGCATGCTTTGCACTCAACAATACACTGCCGAAAAAAGGTAATAGTATTATTCTTGAACTTCTCACAACAGTCATAGAACCTTATAAATAAGATGCAAAAAGATGCTAATGCGTTTGTTTTTTGCAGGACAACCTTTGATCATTAGCAATAACGGAGCAAGTGGCGTTTATCTAGGTTCTACCAATCTTGCTTATCAACAAGCAATAGACGACGAAGCTGACATTATAGATTGCTCGGTTCAAATGACAAAAGATGGAATTTCATTCTGCTCAAATACAGTAGACCTAATGGCAGATACAACTGCTATGACTAAATTCATGTCACGGACTTCCAATGTTCCAGAAATTCAACCAAATAGTGGAATTTTCTCCTTCGATCTCAAAGAACCTGTATGTTGCAAGAGCACAAAAAAAGGTTGAACGTGAGAAGATCTTGCATCAGTGGTTTGCAGAAAGATGCATGGAGAAAAACTTGAAATACAAGGTAATTCCATACCCTTTTTCCTATAGTTGACTAATTAATTTCAGCTTTCTTAGTTTGCCACCATTTTAACTTTCAGGGATCAAACATTTATGTGAAGAACATTGATGATAGTGTTAGTGACGAAGAACTAAAGAGTCAGTTTGTGCAAATCAACAAAGAGAATCGCAAGCAGCTTCCTTATCAAATTACAGGTGCACAATTTTAGTCTCTGAGTTATTTAGTACCATTGCATTACCTAATGTAGTTGCGTTGCTCTAATTTCAGAGAATACAAATTCACAAATTTTCTTACAATACTAATCAATCTTGTTAATAGTTAGTATTTTTCCCATTCTAGATGCTAGCCCACTTGCCTTATTTTCAATCTTAGTGGTCATAGAAGGCTTATGCAGTTCCGTTACCAAAGTTCAACTTGGATGTTTTTTCCATTCTTCAGTTCACTAGCCTGACTTTGGCAATCGCATATGTTGTGGACAGTCTCCTGCTGTCAATCTCAGTTAGAGTCCAATTGTCCGAGGGTGCAGTCTCCCAAAGGACAGAATAAATGATTGGACTCAACAAGCAGATCTGATGTCTGCAATTTGTTTGATTAGTAGATATTTTGACACGGTGAAGATGATTATGAAGTACTTGTAGAGCTTGGCATACCGTACCACACAAGTGAAAAGGAAGATCTGATAGAGTTAAATAATATTCATGATAGAAATATCATATCTGGTCATATACTAAATCTTGGCATTGGAACCATTTTTGCCCCCAAATCTCCTAACAAGATCAAACTCAAGTATTACCTGCACGATTCGACTTCAACTTTATTTCAAAATCTAATATTGAAGTTATATTAGTATCATACTCAATTTCTAATTACTTGTCTATAAACATGACTTACATGCATTTTAGAGCTTCAAAGTTATCATCACAACCTGATATTTTGTCTTGTACACTTGATCATGCTGATTAGGGTGATGCGCTGCACGGTTAGTTTCTATTTTTTTGAAGATAATGAGTGAATTGTTATTATGGATGAGTGTTTCGCAAACATAGTCTTGAATAGAGTTGATTAGGTTTGAGTTTGAATTGAAGTTATATGATTTGTGCCAAATTATCAGTAATGGTTAAACACCAAATACATGATATGATTTACTCTATGTGGAATAGGAAGTTATATTGTTTGTAATATCCTTAGGCAGATATGCAATTTAGAAACATAAACAAATAAAATATTGATTGCTTTTTATTTTGTGTTCCGTGGCTGAAAGAAACTCTGTTGTCGCTTTCAATTATGCAGGCATGGTTAAACCATCCAAGCTTTTAACATGCTTCCAGTGGGGTGCCTTGATGGTGGCAGGTCTGTGCAGGTAAATTACATTGCTTTAGGTAGATTTAATATTGGAGGATGCATTTTTTTAATTACTTCCTTAAAATGCTGTAAAGTTCAAAGCATGAAGTAGATAATGTAGAAAATAGAGCATTTAGTAATTATCAATATGGAGTTGTTCGCTTTGCCTTATGATGATTGGTAGAAACAATTCACTGGAAGGTTTTTGTTTTTCTACATAAATGTTACTTATTGATTATTTAAATTGATGTTATATGCCACAGGACGCATGTTTCACGGAAAACCACTGTATGTTGCTTTTGCTCAGAGGAAAGATGTTAGGCAAAGCCTATTGCAGCTCCAGCATTCACACTGGTGTTGTTTATCATCACCCTAAGGGTTCTACAACATTTTATCATCATTCATCGGGTTCTATTGTGAGTGACAAATTTGCATAATAACTAGATAAAAGGAGTTCATCATAGGAAATTGAACTCTTAATGCAAATGCATAATTTTAGTGGAAGACAGGTATATTATTTTGACGCATTTAAAGTTAAATTTTATGAGTATTATTTTAAAGATTATTATTTTAATACCTTTTTTTAGGGATTGGAATCACCCGCTGATGGTAGACGTTCATCTGAGTCTAGCTACCGTATTGGAGATAATGGAACTTCAGGGGGGACAAATTAGAGTTTGCTATGATCGAGATAATTAGATTGTGAACTTTCTCATGTATTTTTGGCATAATGATACTTATTATTATAAGATTAGGAATTGATATATTTTGGGTTTTTTGTACTACTTGACATGATTATGGAACTCGCATTTTACATGATTATGGAACACACATTTTTTTGGATATTATAATGCTTATTTGATGTTAAATATTTTTTATTGAAATTATTTTTACTATATTACAAAGTGATAGAAAATAAAACAAAAAATAATACTATAAATAAATATATTAAAGAAGAAATAATTTAAAGAAAAAAATAACACAAAAAAAAACTATATTTAAAATTTTTTACATAGATAATAATTTAAATAAAAAATATATATAATAGAAAAATAAAAAAAAATCAAGACATAAACAAAAGTCATGGCGATAGTACCGAACCGTCGTAATCAACAATTAAAAATAATCAACAAAAGTCATGACGGTATCGAACCGTCGCCATAAACAATTTAATAAATTTCAAAAGATATTCACGACAGTATCGAACCGTCGCCATCAATAATTAAAAGAAACTCAAAAGATAGTCACGACGGTATCAACCCGTCGTAAACTTGAACGACAGTTTTTGTAACCGTCGCGAAATAGGTTGGGGACACACACTTCTGCGACGGTAAAGCAACCGTCGTGGAAAGCAAATTGCGACGGTTTTAACCGTCGTAATCTACAAAAATACCTGTCGCAATCTGCCAATTTTCTTGTAGTGCCCATATCTCCTGTCTTGATTCTGAATTTCTTACATGTTTTTTTATCTTATAATTTTAGTTTTGATTTCTTGCTTTTAACCCCCAATTAGCGGTTTACAGGACTACCAATTACGAATCGGGTTCGGGGCTCTCATGGTTCGACTCTGCTCAAATTTCACGGCGTGAGTCCCTGTCGGACACAACTGCAACCTGATAGATTAATCGGTTCGAAAAAGGAAGGAGGTTTCTGCTAAAAAGGTACAATAATCTGGTTCTTATGCTCTCTTGGTTTTGTTCCTACTCTGCTTCTAAAAAAAAGGGTTAAAGTGCAGTTTTGTTACAAATAATAAAAGAATGGGGCTGCTGGGAGGGGAAGGCTGAAGTTGGTAGCAGTGAAGGTGGTTCAGAGCTACAGAGGGATGCGTATAAAAGAAAACTACAGTCAAGGAAGGTGCCACAATCCAACAACAATCAGCAATACTTCATGAACAACAAACAAAGAAAACTACCACAAACGAATGGAATCATAAAAAAGGATGCGTGTAAAAGAAGAAGGAAGGTACCGAATCGGAGTTCCTCCGATGGGTCTTCGAGCTTCTCAAGTAAGTTTGATTAAGATTCTTTCTCTTCCTTCTTGCTCTTGATGCGTTGTTCAGTGTGTTATGAGTTGATGGTGTTGTTGCGAGCGTTTGTAATTTTGAGGATTTGCTTCTGATTTGCAGTTATGGTAGCTTCCCCGGTTTATGGAGCTGAAGGCTTGTTGAGCGAAAATCTGAAAATAGCTTATTGAAGCTTGGTTCTGTGGTGATTGAGATGGAGGAATTGTTGTTGTGCGAGTTTGGAAGTGTTGTTGTATTCATGATGAAGGTAGATTCTGGGTTGCTGCAAAAATTATTTGGAGGAAGTTGAACTCAGTAACAAATTGGCAACTTAACATTCTTTCCTTCTAATTTTTTTCCTCTTTCTAAAAATTATGATCAATATGCGTGTTATTTCAAACTATTGTTACATTCCCTGTTGTTGCAGATGACATTGGTGTTTGGAAATTGTAGGTTAGTGAGGAATTTGAAGTTGATGCATGTTTGTTGTTGAAAAAGAGATGCAGGTTTATTGATGGTGTAGGGAATTACTGCATAATTTTCAGGAGAATTTCACTATATATATTTTGTTCTCTCCGTTTTTACCATGAATGAAACATGTTATATAGGCATGTTGATAGGTTTTTTTGGGGGAAAGTTGGCTGAGGTTTTGAACAATTTATGATGTTGTTTTATGCCTTTAAAGTGCAGGTTTTTAACTTGCCTATTTGGTGCAAGTTTTGAAACAGGTTTTGACAGTTTTGTTGGACAGAAATGTGCAGGTTTTTTCTTTCCTCTTTCATCTTTCTGTGATGCAAAGCTTAGTGCTTTTTTCCTTAAAGTTCTGAAGGATTTGTGTATTTGGAAAATGATGAAATAAGGCATTTGGCTGCTAGTCTTTGACTTGTTGCTTGTATGTTTAAAATGATGCTGCATTGTTTGCTTGTTTTGATACCATTTGTTGTTGTTGCTTTTTGTCTTAGCTTTCTTGGCCTGCTAGCCTGTTGTTGCTGTTCTGGCTTGTTGGTTGCCATGCTTTGATAGTTCTGATATGCTTGTTTTGTTTTGGCCTGCTGTGCCATTTGCTTTACTAGCTTGCTATGCTGTTTTTGTGCTGCGCACTATGCTTGTTGCTTTGGCTTGTTAGCTGCCATGTTGTCTTGGCTTTGTTTGCTTCCTGTTCTGTTTGTTTTGCAGCAGTAGATGAAAAAAAAGAATATTTGCAAACTTCTTTTCTTTTTTCTTTTTGTGAACCAAAAGGCACAAGCTTTTTGTGATTTGCAATTGGGAGAGGGAAAAAATAGTCCATGATTAAACAAACTCCCTTTTAATCTGATTCCAAATACAAACCCTTATGATGATATATCAATTAATTAATTCTTGTTTGAAATTTTTCCATGTGTTTGATCACTAACTTTTCTCTTTCCTTGTTTCATGAGCACGATTATTGGACGGCAAGCGGGATTGTAAGAACATGGACGATTCTCTTGAAGAATAAGCAACAACAATTGAAGGAGAAAGAATTGATTCCTTTTTTTGTTTTTGTAATTTGTAATTGTAACTTGTAATTCGTGACATGCCTTATAACTCGTCTCAAAAAGTGTAATGAACACAAAAGCTGGAATGAATTTATTTTGAACGAATTTGTAGAAATCAAATAACTCTTGCATCTTGTTTAAGATTCTGAAATTCTCTCTTGAATAATTCGAACGCACATCTCAACTTTGTAACTTAACCTTCAAGAAATTGTGAGCAATTGTTATAACTTGTATTACAAACACATCACGCGCCTTATAATCAAACTCTCAAACAAAACAAAATGAATGCCTAAGAATTTAATTCCACTGATTAATTCGAACCCCAAAACACCAGTCACTTGAACCTTGATCTTTATATCATGCCTGAACCACACTTGCACTTTTCGAACAGAAATCTGACTTTGACATTCAGCCCACAATAACTTGAAACTTAAGCAATAAAAACAAGTCTTGATTATCACGAACCTTTAACCTCATTTCCTGAAGTGCTCGAACTCCACATTTTCCAATTCAACTTCAAACTCTCGACTCAACAGCTTAGAGGCTTTAAGAAGAAACTCGAAATGCAAGGAAGTGAGATTTTTGACCTAATGCACTGAGCTTTGAGCCATCCTCGAGGAAGGCAAAAGAAACATCTTCCCAGAAACCAAAGACCCAAAAACCTAGCATCTGGACCAACACCATAGGGAAATAAACCATATTCCAGGCTTCGATAAATTGAGCGAGAACCAACCTTGTAACATGACGACACAATTCATTCCACGATCCATTAATCGAGAACCAGATGCGCTTCCTTTTTACCTGATAAGAAAACCTCAAAACAAGATTAGACATAAAGAGGGCGCAACCGTAAAACTTTAAACCAAAGCGCCTGATTCCATGAGATGCGGAATATGCAAATGACTGAATAATAAAATGATGCAAATGGAATGCAAAGTTCAAAGCCAGACAAAAAAATAAAAGAGATGGGGCAAATTTGGGGTACGACAAGTAGCAACAGAAAGATTTAAAAGATGAACATCAAAATTAACAATCTATAGTTGGTATCTACCTGTGAATTCAGATGAGTTAACAAACCCTAATTGAATCCAAATGAGTTAATTCTAAAAATTTATTAAACCTATTTTAGATATTATCCTATTTTTCCAAACCTAAAATGTATGACAGCTCCCCGCGAATTTCAATTTTAAAACTTTCTTATTATATCATATTTATATTTTTTTATAACCTACAATGTATGACAACTTCCTGTTAAATTACAAACCTAAAATCTTCTTATTAGATCACATTTACATTTTTTACAAACATAAAATGTATGACAATACCCCGTCAAAATATAATAAACTATGTAAAATATGCTCATGCAAATTCAACATGGAGATTAAAATCAAACTTATAACCTATTCTTCAATAACAATCTTCAAAATAATAAAAAAATTCATATTTACCCATTGAATAAGAAAAGTTTGCACTCAGTTTCAGAAGGGTAAAATTTTCTTTTCCAGGTACTTTGATTTTTATATATTTATAATAGATATAATGGATAAATAATTATGTTTTGAAACTCAAAAATTAATGTGATTTGATATGATTTTAATGTTTAAAGAAAAAACATTAAAAATTATTTGATAAATAGTACTTTATAATTTTCATAATTTTGAGAATTTAAATTAACTTATTTTAATTATTTAATATAATTTATTTAAAAATTAAACAAATATCTCATGTTATTTATTAGATTTTAAAAAAAAATTACCTTTAAATGTTTATGATAAGAGATTAATTGAATTTTCTTGTTTCTTGTACCATATCATAATCCATTAAACATATGATTATTTTAAAAAGATTTATAAAACA